TTTTATGATTCAACTGCCAATAAAACTGAATATTTAGAATCTATATTTTGCTGTAGAAACTTCTTCATATCCATAACAAAAGTATTTTAGCTCACAACATCTTCAATATAAATTCTTTAGTTAGGTTATGTTACACTATGGTACTCAGTATAAACGTAAATAGGTGCTATAGTGATATAGACAGAGGAGAAATGATTAAATTTAGAGTTTTGATAACTGATAGCACCTAAAACACTATGTTCTAAAATTCTCAGAAATGAATATTTAATCTAACAAATTAATAAACGTTACATATTCAACATATTATTACGTTAAAGCTATTTGAGCCAGTGCACTTGAGCACTTTTACTCTTTATTAACTCGAGGTATCTTCAAAACCCTTCTTTACCTCCCCGAGGAGCTTGTCACCATTCTGAGATTCGATAATGCGGTGTTGGTAAGTTTGTCAGTTTTCGCAAATAATTTCAGGGCTCTACCTTTTATGTATTTTTTGATCGGATCAATCTTGAGGTTCCTGAGGATGTCATTCGTTCTAATGTATCATGGTACCTTGAAAGGTCTTCTCAGAGCCTGGCTTTGTGCAATTTCTAGCTGGCGAATAGTAGTGTTTGAAGCTTTACTTAATTTGGTTATATATCAGCTTTCTGTTCTTAACATTTCATTGATTTATGAACATATATGCAACATGTGACAATAAACTCAGACTATATGCAAACTATGAAAATGAAGTTTTTCGAACTCGATTTCTTAAGTAATATACGTGGTTTTAATTAAATAAATTTACATTTTATATTAAAAAAAAACTTAATATGTTTATTTAAATAATTGAAAAATAAATTGTAGTAACGTTTTTATGACTATAAGCCATCGAACCGTAATACTCGTATTGAATCGAATTAACAGAAAACTGTAGACAGATGGTTAGAAATGTTACATTACTGTTAAGTGTAACAGACACTTAACATAGCTAAACATAGTTCAGTCTTGCTATTTTGATGGTTAGAAGATGAGTTTATATGAAGTGATCGAATAAATTATAAATTAAATTAAGATATGTAATATAATGCAAAAAATGAAAAGTAAAATTTGGTAAAATGTTTGAAAATAACATGAGATCTTTTGTTTTAAAATATATGTATCATATATTTGTTTTTGTTTAAATCTTATCAACTGGGCAAATTGTGTCAAAATATATTGAAAAAGTTAACAAAAACAACATTTTATTATATGAGACAAATTAGAAAAATTTAATAAGAATTAATATCAATTAATTTCAGTCGAGCGGATTATTAGAACAAAATGAATAATACATCGTACGAAGATGTGAGATAATAGTTAAGTATTAAATTACTAATCACACTTTTTAGTTAATTCGTTTATATATTTATTTATTAATTTGTTTGTGAGCTTTCACAATAAATATATGAATATTAAAGAAATCTCGTCATAAAATTTATTCCTTTAACTAAGTCCTTTTTGAAATATTCTGGAATTGTATTGCTTTTGAAAACTAAAATCTGAATAATTATTTATAATTTCAACATTCCAAAAGTCTAAATTTAAGATAAAAATATCTTAAAAACAAAATTATTTTCGAAATCTGTCGATGATGTCTTGGTGTTCATTTTGCACCCTGTTGCTGGTGGTGCCTGGACCAGAAGCTCCTTGCTTGTCTATTGTTATGGTACTGATTTACACTTAAAACATGTATCCTTAAGAAAGACATGCTTCTTACCACCGTGAAGACAATTTTAATATTTTTTATTTAAATTTACTGTTTTATTATATATTTATTTATTGTTTCAACATATAATTATATTTTAAATGATTTCTTTTTATTTCTAGTCAGTAAAATGAAGCTGCTGTATGTTCTTAAAAAGGTTTTCATTTTCATAATATGTATTTCAATGGCTGTAAGTAATTATAAATGCAATATATACACACACATGTATATATATATATATGCATATATATATAAGTATATAATTACAATATATCCTAGACAGCTGGATTTTGCTTATTGTCGATGGCTATTTTATGTGCACTTTCAGCTCCAAAGAATTATCTCAATTTTTTAAATGTTGTGGGATTTTTTATTTTGGTTATGACAACCATTGGAGCTTATGGTATGTTCCAAGAACACATTTACTTTTTGATATCTGTGAGTTAATCATATTATATATTTTCACTATAATATCACCAAATAGTTTGATTTATTTCTAGTTTAGCACTTTCGGAATAATGGTACTAATTTTACAAGTCCTTGGCATTTGTTATGCCAGTGAAGAGGACGAAGTTGAGAAGATTGCTTATAATCACGTAGAAGACATGTGGAATACACAGTTAATAGTTGATGGTTATATGGATGAAATGCAGTGGAATGTATGTAAATTTATTTGTAATTTGTTGAAAGAAATTGAAATACCGAATTATTTTAATTCCGCAAATACAATAATTTTGAATTTATCCTAGTTATATTTTCATTTTCTAATGATTATCACAGAAAACTGAATTCGGATATTTTATAAAAAGAAGAAAAGAATAAATATTTCTTTTTTCGTAAAAAAAATATAGCAATCATAATTCTTACAAAGTGACCTCCAAGGAGTTATTACAGTTAGTATAATATTTTTGTTAGGACATATCCTTAAGATGACTTTATGTTATATCATAGACCTTCTATTTCAATTTAATAGGTTTATTAAAATTGATTTGGGAAAGTAAACACTTAAAAGAACATTACTCATCTTTTCAGAACTACTAACTGTGCTAGATTGTATAAACCGTTTAACTTTTTCAATTATTAAAAATCTTGATAAAAAAATAAAAAAATAAAAAAATAAAATAAAAAAAGATATTGAATTTGCTTATTTTCTGCTAAAACAATAATATACGATTATACATTCCATCACGTATGATATTACGTCACATATTTTTTAATAATATTTATTGATTTCAAAATACATATATATAAATTTTTAGTATTAACTTAAATATAAAATAAATTTCTTTCAGTTTCATTGTTGCGGTAAAAATGGCCCACATGACTACATTGAAATATTACGTGAAATACCGGGATCATGTCAAACTGGGAAAGGAAAATCATCTCATTATGAAACGGGGTGTCGAAAAGCAGTCAATGAAACATATAGATCATATTTTAAATACCTTTTATTATCCGAACATTTAAGTTTAATAGCAAACGTAACTATATTCGTTAAATATTTATATTTGAGTTCCTAATAAATAAATTTCTTTTCTGCTTTCTTAGACAATTGGGTGGATTGTAGGTACAGTAATATTAGTTGTGCTTCTCTGTAGACAATATCGCCGTAATGCAGTCGAAGAAACTTAATTTCTAATGCGATGAATACTATAAATATATGTACAAATAAAGTTAATTCATTTATGATAATTGAATTAATATAAAAAATTTAATTATTTAATTACTTAATTATTTGATAATATTAAATATTAAAAATGTAATTCTTCGTTAAGTTTAAATTAAAGATTGAAGAAATGAGTATCAATATGCGTGTGTTACTCATACGCCACCAAATTGTTAAGACACAAATATGCTTGGGAAATGATGAATTTTAAATGGGAAACGGTTCTTGAAAAATTTTAAATTGTAAACGTTGCATTTGAGCTAAAGGTTTGAAAGGCTCATACATTTTTTAAATTGACAAAGTTATAATTTAAACCTTCAATTTTAAGAGCAGCAGTTACACGATAGTCAATTTTTTTACGAAGTGAAATAGAATATTTGGATTTGGAAGGTATTGGTTTCAATAGCATGGCGCCAAAAGCCACACACCACGTCATGTTTTGGGTTTGTTGGGCAAAAAACTTCCCGGATGTGTAAGCGTACGTTTTGATGATCTCAATTGACCATTAAGTACATGCGATTTATGATTAATAAACTTTTATGCTTAGATTATATAAATCTTTGCATTTATGTGGACTGTCTTCAAACTCTCAACAGTTTAAAAACGAATATCCATCAAATTATGACTGAGCTTTTTCCAGTGAGAAAATTACCTCAAGAACATACAGTACTGTGATTTAGTTTTTGGCGTAATAAATATTAAAATGACGTTATATTTTATACCTAATGACAAATCTCAAACAATGTATTGATATAAAACTTGCTTGAAATCTTAATCTTAAGTCTGTTCTATTTACGTTAACTCTCAGAAGCACAAGCATTCTATACTTATTATTTTACAAAATACAATATTTGTTCATTTGAAGTAGTTATGTCAATCCAGACTTTATCAAGAGCCAGTAATTTGTTATGTTATCTCTAACAAAACCTACATTTGTATATTACATATAACCGACTTGCTGACATCACTCTGATCTAGGTTCCTGGACATAGTAGACTTGAAGAACACAAATAATCAGACGGTTTGGCACGCCTTAGTGCGTACCTAGATGTATTCAAATGGGTATGAGCTTATTTTCGCTTAGAGACCGTACTTATCTTTACTTTCTTCAACTTGCCCATAAAAAAAAGAAGACACTTAGTTCATGTGTTACTTCTAGATTGACAAGGCTTTCATACAAAGCTTTGTAAAACTTATTTAAAGGGACCACGTGAATACTACAAGTCTTCCTGCAGTTCTCTCTTGTCACTGGTGTATAGAAACACAAGTAGAGAAACTGCGTATTAATGCTCATTGTAGAACTTGTGGAAACTTGTAGAAACAATCAGTCATTTCCGCTGTGTCTGCCCGCCACGGGCATCCAGAAGGTCCAAAAGATTTTTGAAGAAACACTACGCTGACAGTTTGTTCATCGGTTAGAATTAAAGATCTATTCAATGATCTAAATTCGACGGGATGAGTTTAGTTTTTATCTTTTTATATCTTAAGGTTTCTTGCGAGAAAAGTGGTAGTAAAACGTCTGACCTGCCACTGCAACCATTCAAACAATCGAAACGAGCAACTTGAAATCGTCAGTTGTCAGTCATAATTCGTTCTTTTATTGATTCCCTATTGTTTTTTTTGGGTTTTATTAATGTGCTGTGGTTTATTATTTTTGTTGCTTTTAATTACTCGTTCTTGCATATTCACAATTATGTAGTTAAGATTTTTCTCAATGAAACCCACACGAAGCAGCGACACGCAACGAACGCTAGCATATTCGGCCACACATTTAACGAGTAAAAAGCGATGATGATGATGACGCTGACGCTGACATAAAGTTATGAGTAATTATGACGTAAGTATACAAATCTACAAATATTAAATTAAATGTTGACATAAACAAACAAACTGACAATCTAACAATCTAACAACCTAACAACCTAACAAGCATACAAGCCCACATTTTCTAAACGATAGTTTCGCGGTTTTTCAAACGTAAAAATACTGGTTTCTTTTTTTCCCGCGTTGTGGCATATTTGTAACAACAATACTCAACACTCACACATGCACACGAGCACACCGCAAGCACAAACGCACACACTCAAAACTATAAATCAGATTTATATTGCTAGATTGTTTATGGGCAAAGTAATCATTTAATTGTAATGCGCTTAGAAATAATTTCAAAAACATCTGGCAGAGTACGAACGAGTGCTGAACTTTTTCCAGCTTTGCTTTCGAAACGATTTCATACGTTGTACTTCTTATTAGAAAAAAATTATAAAAAAAAAGAAAGAATCTAAATGAAAAAAAAAAATACAGCAAAATAAACAATACGTAATTTCATACAAAATAGATTTGATACACACATATGCCTGCCTTGGCTGTGCGGTTGTGTGTCTGTGTGTCTGTCTGTCTGTTTGTCAGTCTATCTGCCTGGCTTTGCTTATATGAATTTTACACTCGCACAATATTTTTTGAGCTAATGCAAATATTGCTTTGTTGGTGTCAAGATATTTAGTTTGTTCGTGACCGTGGCCATTAAAAGTTGTGCATGTTTTCAGTTTGGAACTCAAATTCAATCTATTTGCGTCTATAGATTTTAGCTTTTAGTTTTTGAAGTTTCCGGGCTAAAGTACGCGCTCTCTAACTCAAGTGGTGTATATGAAATATCTATTAAAAATTTATCTCGTCGTGCTTCGGTGCATTTTGAAACACATTTCAGACCAAAAGTTAAATAATTTTACATAAAATTAAGTAAAGTGTTAAGGTTTCGTATACGGAGTCAAAACTATAGTACAAAATGGGTTGCGCAACCGGTGCATTGAAAGTCACTCTATGCATACTCAATATCCTGTCCACGGTAAGTTATTAAAAACCATAAAAAATTAATCATTTAAATAATTAAGAACAGAAACTTTTAGATTAATATGTAAAATTATAAATGATCTGATAATATTAAATCAGATCAATCTGTTTATTGTTTTAGCAAATAAATTTTTCATTATATATGGAAATCTGTATGTATCTGTCTGAACTAGATGCATATAGTGAATATTTATAAGATTTATAAATATATTTATTTACTGATTTACTGATTAATTAGTACAAATTATTAATACAAACTACCTGCTAGTATATAATATTTATTTTTAATATTTACACATGTTTCCAGTACTAATGTTAGCAAGTTAATATATTCAAGTACACATACTTCTAATCATATGGATCGACCATTACCCAAAATGCAATTAGTAGCGGATTGAAAAAGTACAGAGACTGACAAGCCTGCGTATTTTACGAGCCATAAGTATTGCATTTAAAGAATACTTAAATAATATTGCATAACTTAAAGTTTTCGGTGTCTAAGCCGTGAAAATCAGCTAACTATAAACACTTAAAAATTTTAAATATGATTAAAAAAAATGATCACGACTTGGTCAATGTTGATTTTGAGTCAATTACATATCACATGACACAAACTCTACATCTTACAAATAGAAATCCTAATTCGATTAAAAAGTATAATAGCAGTTTGATCAATCTTGATTTGCGTTCACCCACACTGCAGTGGCTTATCCAATCTTGATTTAGGATCAATTATATTACACCACTTCTGGATCCTACAAACAGAATTCCTAGGCTTTACTTAGATATGACTGATTCCGATACTTCAATACATACTGTGATGTCTGTATGGTTTAGTAACATAAATAGAGTAAACTCAGATTTGCAATAATAAATAGGTTATGGACTTGTACCAAAAACTATGAGATCGGTAGAACACTGAAACCTATATTAGATAAGAAAAGAACTAGAGATTTTTTGGACTTTAGCAAACTTTCAGTTTGAATTATGTCTTATATTGAGGTTTTTCGAGTTAGTGCAACTGGGCACTTTTACTCTTTCTTAGCTAGGGAGTTTCTATAGAGTCCCTCCTTTCTGTTTGACTAATTTATGTGTCTTCCAGTTTGTGTGCTTACTAAACTGTTAATGGGGCAGTGTACTATTGCGCCAATATCTAAGCGATATTGTATTCCAACGAGTGGTGTTCCCATGATGGTGTGGAATCGATTAGTTTTTCTTTAAGATTACAGATTGAGTAACTTTATTATCTAATAGATTATTTCTTCCTCAATGCGGAAGATATAGCGAGGGTTGACTTATCGGATTTTCTTAAGTTCAACTAGAAGACCAAATGGTTTAACAAAGAATCCACATATTTGCCTAGTCAGTTGTTATAATATTCCATCAAGAAAAAAATTATATTAAACTGCGACATTTATTTAGAAAATAATATATATATAATAAGTAAAATTATGTATATATAAGTTCGCGAAAAGGATTCCAAAATCTAACGCGTTATAGGTAAAAAATAAACTGATATAGTTATTAACATAATATTTTAGATTTGGAGAGCAAGAAGTATATTAACAATCGTTTCTGAATTTCAAACTAATTACTTTATATTTAGATATATTCTATATACTACATAGTATAAACATATATTCTGTTAAGATGTTTTTGCAGAAAGACTTGTCGGGGGGTATTTTCGGAACTCAGTATGTAACAATCAATTAGTTCTGCTAAATTAAAAAAAAAATGTATTTGTTTTCGTTATTTTCGTTACGTCTATGGTAAACAGTACATCTACTACAGCAGAAATAAATAATAATATATTTTTAATTAAAATTAATGTAGAGGCAAGTACATTTCTAGATTTTAAACCAAAGTAATAGTATTCAGTAGCAGTATTCGTTATTTAGAACTTTTCTTTTATGGTATTGGTGTCCTAAAGATTCTCTAGTTTGATTTAATTTGAAAAACAGCAATCTATAATCCATTTCAAATACTAGTTTCATTATTTTCAATAACTCAATTTCATGTCATCGTTTAATTCCAATATAGCTTGGAAATCTAAATAAACATTTACCTACAATAAATGTATCCGTGAATCCACGGGCACCACGGGTAGAATAGCTTTTAGATATTGATTAACGAAAAATTCAACTTT